ACTCCCGTTAATTACCGTGTCATATCCACCGATGTTTCTCTGGTATTCATAATGTTAAGATTTAAACCCTCAAAGCCTGAATACCGATTTTTGTATGTTGCATTAATTGGATTTTCATTGAAACGTTCTAGTGTTTGTTGCTGAATGTAATCAATCATTCAAAATATTATTTTTATCATTTGGGGAAAATGAAGCCTCCTGACATGTTGTATTAAGTTTCCTTCCAGAATAAAAATAAAATACAACAGCAAGTGACATGATTTCTATAAACTGTGTATATAGTTGACATGACATCCATTAATTCTTATAATAATCTCTATATTACCTATAACACGATTAATAGATAATCCAACAGTTTAACTAAAATACTGTTTATATTACATTTAATGGATTAAATATTGAACTGAATTTTTTGTTGTTTTAAATCATTGAACTTTTCATGTTCATTACTGTCAACAATATTTACATGGACTGTATTGTATATACAAGCATGCATTATATCGATTATTTACTATGTGAACATAAATAAAGTTTTACCGAACTGCACTTTTTTAATATTCGAATAATAAATTAACAGAAAAAACAATGAAAGTTTAAATAACTAAACGAGGCCCCGACTAAATCAATCTTTGCGAACTACTCTGCAAACCCTACAGAAACTTTCTCGACAGGGATCCAACCCGGAATCTCGAATAATGTGGCATGCATTTAATTACACAATATTCCTTCAAGTATAAAATCAATCTTATTTAACCTTTCGATCATCAAAATCAATTTAATAATTCAAATATATCTTTGTGAACATGCATCTTCGTTATTATCCAACAGTCGTCATATGAAAATACATGATTTGTGTTCATATAGTCGGATTGAATTTCTTCATTTCTTCATGCAGTCCTTCTATCTACCCTCTACTATAATTATTGTTTTCATAATTATTTTATCATTTATTATTCATTTCTCATGATGTCAATAACCCTTATTCCTTCAATTATTTCTTTACTGTATCTAGACATTCATTTGTTTATTTATTCCTCTATACAATATTGTTATTAGTTTATTCAGTTTATCCTTTCAGCTGTCAATTACAGTGTACCAGTTATTTCTTCTATTCATCTTATTTTTACAACATTTGTTCATTTATCTGGTTTATTCATTCATTTTATTTTTCCTGTATAATCTTATTGTTACAACAGTTGGTCTATTCAGCCGTCAATTATATTAGATTGTTGAATTATAAATTAACCATCAAATATTACACAAATAATTACTACCTGATTTCACAATGACGATAATCTGTTAATCTCTTCTATTGTTTTACCTGATTATTGTACACCAATAACCTGAATATAAAGGGAGATAACTTGTACTACAATCAGTAAATATTGGTCAGATGAATTTGAGAGCGAGACGGAGAAGAACTAAAGATACAGATTAAGAAATAATCTGAATAAAGGAAAAATAAGAAATGAAGAAACGGACCAAAAACAAAACTGAAGAATTGTAGTGACGTGGTGAATGCAGGCTTTCTAAAGAGTACTGTATAAGAAATTTCAGAAGGTAACGCAACTTATAAATGTTAATCAAAAGAAATAAGCGGAATTCTAGAAGACGCTGACCTCAGAAGATATAATATATGAAACTGGGACCCGAAATAACGACAGAAACAGGGACCAGAAATGATATTAGACAGTGTGGTCAGAATTTACAGAAACTTGCACCAGAAATAATAAGAAAATCGGTAACCAGCAGATATAATAATAGGTGAACCGGGAACCAGCAGAAATAATAGGAGAACCGTGAACCAGCAGAAATAATAGGTGCAACTGGTTTGCAGAGTAATAACAGAAGAAACTGGGACCAGAAAAAAATGAGAAATCAAAGACACATGGAGAAATAACAGAAGAAACTGGGACCAGAAAAAAATGAGAAATCAAAGACACATGGACCAGAAAAAAAAGGAACTGCCACCAGAAATAACAGAAGAGAGTGGAACCAGATATAATAGAAAGACATTGGAACCAGAAATAATAGGAGGAACTAGGAACAGAAATAAAAGGAGAAACTAGGACCAGAATTAATACTAGACACTGGGGACAGAAATAATAGAACAGAGTAGGGCCAGAAAATACAGGAGAATGTGAAACCAGGTATAATAAGAGTCCAGGTAAAAACCTAATTTAAACCTAGAACAATTAGTCTGTATTATGGAAACAGTATTCTCATTTGGAGTATCAGAGAACACCAATAACGTAAATTTAGGGAGCGTCTTACTGAGAAAAAATAACCACAGGGTAGGCAATAAGAAATTAGAAAAAAATAATATTGAAGGAGTTGATAAATGGATATGACAAAATATTGAAACGAAACATTGCTAAAAGAAAGTTTTGCTATAATGAAGATATGGATTTGATGAACTGTCGTGATGTTGTGATGCATAAAGATACGGGTATGATAAACTTTTGAATAAGATTGGGATGATACGATGCATAGAAAATGTTGGTATGATGATCTATTATATGTGAAATAATTTCATATAGTGCATGAACTATAGACGTTTTGAAATAGGAATATCATTACACGTGTAGCTATAAATCTTCTCTGTGGATTAATGGTGATAGAATATTTAATTGATTGCTTAGAAATATGAAGGAAATCATTAAACATAAGAGGCAAATGTGGAAAGGGGTTTCTTTTGAATGTATATACATGTATGGGTTTAAACAATATTCTGTTCGCAAAAATAACAAAGTTTAACATATATTTCATTTGAACTTTTGGACATAGTTCTTTTTGGCATCGCTAATATGAACGTTTATATCAATTATATAAGGTTTAGAAATTCAAAAATATGTTTTATTTTCATTTTTTATTCCCGAATCGGCTATATTATTTAATATAATTACGAATTCTCTAAAGCAGCGTTTTCTATATAATCTATAGAAACATAACCAACCGTATTTATCGAAAAAATTAAAAAAAAAAACTAAGACCCCCCCCCCCCCCGAAAAAAAAATATTTAAAAAAAACAAACGAAAAAAGCTCGAAATGGTGAATATCTTAGAGTAAACATCATTTGTGTTTTTATTCATTCAATCTGTGATATTTTTGTTATTATTTATTTAATCTCGGATATCATTGTTATTATTTATTCAATCTGTGATATTGTTGTTACTATTTATTCAATCTGTGATATTATTGTTATTATTTATTCAATTTGTGATATTATTGTTATTATTTATTCAATCTGTGATATTATTGCTATTTGTTACTATTTAGTCAATCTGTGATATTATTGTTTATATTCTCAATCTGTGATATATTTGTTATCATTTATTTATTCAATCTGTGATATTATTGTTATTATTTATACAATCTGTGATATTATTGTTAGTTGTTACTATTTATTCAATCTGTGATATTATTGTTATTATTTATACAATCTGTGATATGTTTGTTACTATTTATTCAATCTGTGATATTCTTGTTATTATTTATACAATCTGTGATATTCTTGTTACTATTTATTCAATCTGTGATATTTTTGTTACTATTTATTCAATCTGTGATATTCTTGTTATTATTTATACAATCTGTGATATTCTTGTTACCATTTATTCAATCTGTGATATTATTGTTATTATTTATTTAATCTGTGATTATTTATTATTATTATTAATATTATCGTTTATTCAATCCGTGATATTCAACTTGAAGTGTTTCGAAATAAACAAATGGTTATCAAATAATGTTTTTGATATCTTCGTATCCAGAATCACAACTTGCTGAAGTGTTTCTGTGGGCGAACAATTGAGTTTAAAAGCTTTAGTTCAAAACTGGGTTACGTTAGCAAAGGTTCCACACTTTTTCTGTTATTCAAAGATGAGACAATTTCATCCAGTGCTTAATATTATCTTTCTCGCACGTGAATTACAAAGATAATGATTTCAGAAGTAATCAAATGAAATGGGGTTCAACCTCTTACTTTTCTGCACCGACTGGACTAATGAAGCCTGCCATATGCCATACAGTGTGTTAAGATGGAAATTTTGCCCAGACAGCGGCGTTACAGCCTACTCGTATGTCAAAACCCATCTACCCTGTCATTTCCAGGCCTATCGTCCTGCACCAATGACAAGGGGACACTACGTCGGAAAATCCTTAAGAAATTTATCAGCCAACAAGGGTCAGCTAAATGAAAACATTAAAATGAATACAAATCGGACTAAGCCTAGGACTGTCGGACGTGGTCCGAGGGTAAGGAGACGGGGTGTGGGGTGAATGGGCACAGGGGCCACTCGGACCGATTGGAAACAAATATTCTATAAGGTGGGATCCTTTACCACGACTTGGGCCCCAACGAAACCAGTTGTTCCGAGGACTCATAGCTATCCAGTCCGCCCATATATCATGGATTGGTGTTATCATTCAACATAAACCACACTGGGTGCGAAGGAAATTACGGAATAATGTCGAGGGAAAATAGTATAATTATCTTTGACAGAATTATTCAAAATGGCGAAGGAATTCTTTTTACTGATTATAGCCTTGTGTAAGGGATAAAGGTCAAGTATGGCTGCTACGATAATAAACAATCTGTCCTACTTCTTGTCAAAACTTCATACACTCAGTTAAAACTTCGCCTAGAATAAAATAATTAGCATTCATATTCATTGTCCATTATCTATTTTTAAACTATTATGAAAATAACAAACAGCTCTTTATCTAAATCTTACATAATGCATCTTTAATCATTCAGCTGCGAAAAACATCTAATTATACTCAAATGAATAACAAAAACTAATAACATTATAACATATAACGAATAATGTTTAATATTGTCATACTTTAAACGTAAAAAAATTAAATTCGGTTAGGTCAAATTTACAGGCCTGTGTTCAAGGTATCACATTTCCTCATTTGTAATTTCTTGTTAGCGTGAAAGGGGAATTGTCCATGTGAATTCAAGTGTAGGCCTAGTGATCATGGTTACTAAACTTCTGAAATAACATAGCGGGGTACGTTACCATATCACACAAATTAAACATGACTTCAACGAACAACCGTCTACATAAAACTAGGTGCTGGTTAACTGTATCGAGATCAAAATGGATTAAACATAATTTGTTACTTATACTAGTGTTATTGGGTGTTATTGCAGGATTTGGAATAGGATTTGGTGTGCGATTAACACACCCTTCTGAGAGTGTTTTGCTATGGACGGGTAAGTTTCTGCAAATTATTTCATCCATTAATAACACGGGCCAATGGATTTTGTTGTTGGGCTAGATCTATTTGATAAGGCCAACTTCAAGTTTGCTCAAAGGTCACAAGATGTAAACAGGGCTAGCGCTAATCCCAACCCTAAACCTAACCCTGGATCTAGCCCAAACGTCTACCCCTAACCCTAGCCTACAATCTCGCCAACAATCACGTGCCCTAACCTTGTTTACATCTCACCGACCTTGACGACAATTGAGCTGGCCTTAACAAATAGATCTAGCTGCACTAGGAGCTTTAGAATCCTGAGTACAAAAAGAATAGCAAGGTGCTCTGTATCAAAATTTCTAATATATTTAAATGCCTTAAAATGTATATGAAATGGGTTTTAACGCCCTGTTTAAATGAACCAACCGCGATAATAAAGATAATCACGCACAATACAGTGTGATGTGAGGGAATTTCCACAAATGTTGCATTTCCGCCTACACTTCTCGAAATCCAACTGTCATGTTTTCTTTTACGTGCACGCCAAAGTCTACACGGGATCTCGTTATTTCTTCCCACCCCAAAGACTAGAAGCTTCTACAAAACTGACATGGGGAACCACTCTGGGCAATCGCGAGAGACTTTGTTGGCTAACACTGATCCATTATATCACCAAATTTAAAATGTAGTATTGGCCTGAAACCAAAGTGTTTTTTTTGTGGATTTTGGCCCAAAGTGCTGCTCGTGTTCTTCTTGGTGGCGAGAAATTTCATCGAGATTTTCCGGCTTGGTTTCTCCTTGTCTGTTCTGCTGGACAGGTGGCATGACAAGAACAGCTGTCTAGTCGTTCGGATGAGACGAGAAACCGAGGTCCCGTGTACACATTGGAGTGTACGTAAAAGATCCCTTAGAAGTTGAAATTCGATATAAGAGTAAGACGTAGCGTCGCTGTCCGGGCCCAATTTGCCCCATAGCACACTGTATGGCGTACACCCGTCTTCATTAGCCCAGTCGGAGCAGAACAAACAGTAGGACGTTAAACCCCATTTAATTTCATTTGATTTCTTCGAAGAAAACCTAAGGCTACATCAATTCAATTACGATCGACTTGACACCTGCCATGTTTGTTCCTTGGACAATTGTGCAGAAATTCAGTTTCTTGGGTTTTTGTTATGATGTCACAATTCCAAGGTGTTTGCTATGATGACGCAATGCTCGGTTCCTGTGTTTACACTGCCTGTTCTTGGACAGGCTATAGCCTACTAGAAGAAATACACAATCCATCTTGTTCTGTTTTTTTTAGGTCTTCCCGGAGATCTGTACATGCGTATGCTGAAGGCGACGCTCCTTCCTCTAATAGTTAGCAGTATAATAGCAGGTTTGTGTTTAAAAAGACATATGTCTAAATCCACGAATACAATAGGATTACTAATCTACATTTTTGCACAATTACTAATCTTCATTTTTGCACAATCTGAGTAAAATACAGATCTTTATTTCGTTTCGTTATACTTTTGATGGCCTGCACTACATGAAGATCTGACCAGTTGTTTTGGGAGGTCGCGTCAGAGGTCATACGAGCGGCTTTTGACATTATGACGTCAGACATTTGATTAACCAATTAACATTAATGTTTCTAGTGGATTACCCACAGTTCTGTGCACCTCACGCCAAAAGCTCGCCGTGACAGACCGTTTCATTGGCTAATCCCTTACATCTTCCAGAACACGTCAATGATAACAATTCTTCCAGATGCCAGTGCAGTAGTCAAATAAAACGAAATTTTGAACTATAAAAAACGAAACGAAATAGGATCTGTGTTTTAATCAGATAGATTTTTGCCTTATATACTTCTCATTATAAAACGTATTCTGTTGGATTTCACGGAAGTTCATCTAATAACATTTGATTTCGATAAGCAGAAGTGTAGTATTTAAAAATTATTTAATTTTGTTTTGTATTACACAATTTTAAACCTATTCTTTACGATTCCACAGAAGGTCATTTAATTATAACTGTGATTCAGATAACCTATTGCCAATAAACACAGCTGTATTATTTTTAGGAACATCATCCATGGATCCTAAATCTAGTGGTAAAGTTGGCAGTATATCATTAGCCTATATCATCATAACAAATGGAATTGGTAGTATCCTAGGTTTGGCTGTTGGCTTATTGATCAATCCAGGTACTTACAGTTACCAGTTATACTTTCTATAAGAAAGTTAGATCCTCTTAGAACGATGAAATATGCTATTTGAACTACATTCTAAGTTTTTAACAAGCAAATTGATTAATTAGATCGGTGCTATTCTTAAAAGAATCATCCTTTATGCAATAGCAGCTATGCTTTCTGTAAGAAAATTAGAACTATGAAATGTGCTACTTGCACTTCATTCTACGTTTTCAACAAGCCAATTGATTAATTAGATCGGCGCTATTTTAGAATCATCCTTTATTCAATAGCAGTTATGCTTTCTATATAATTTGAAAATTAGATTCCTTTAGAACGATGAAATGTGCTACTTGTACTTCATCCTTTTTACAAGAAAACCGATTAATTAGATCGGTGCTGTTTAAGATGCATCCTTCATGCAATAGCTGAGTAATCTCTACCTTGTCTTTGGTGTGTATGTATGAAAACATCGTAAATAAGATGATGTAATTACGTCAGCGTACCCAAGTTTGGGAGTGGGACTAACGCCGTCTGTTTCACATTGGTTTAGTGGGGGGAATATATTTTACATAGTATTCGTATTCCACTATACGACATCTATTAATTGTTTTAATACTTTAATTGATAAAGGTAGAAATGTCGTGTTGTATTTATAGGAGAAGGGCAATCTATACCTGCTGTAACAGATGAACAAAATCAACCAAACACCAGAAACTTGTTACCTGAAGATATGTTTGCTGATCTCATCAGGTTAGTATCAGTTGAATGGGTTTGGTCGGAGAGGGAGCTATGACCCCCGGTCATCCATTTCAGGGGGGCATTTAATCAGAGAGTGAAATTATAATGAAGTGTTTTGAAATTTCATATTATCGCTGTTAACGTTTGGTGTACAAGCTGCCCTATTTAATTTAAATTATTGTTTATATCATCTGTTTTTACATATTTAAAGTATCTTTCTTTATAACATCCCTAAGTACTGGGCCCTATTATAGAGTCCTGGGGAATACAACCACAGAGGGTATCACCAAACATATGCACGCCACTGGATTAATTTTAAAAAACTTTCTTTGAACTTCGACCGATGGCCTGGGGATCAATATAATAAAATATATTTTGTTGTTGTTTATTACCAATTTAAAGGAGCTAAATCGCTAATATTTGGGACCTAGAAATTGACACAAATGGGTAGCAGCGCATTTAATAATGTAATATGAATGTATATAAACTGATTTTCATTCAATCGTTTATGTTTTTTCTCTAATTTCAAATCAGTTATGTTCGGCGAAATACGCCAGAAGTCTCAGTCGAATGCCAATCTCTAGTGTCTGGTTATTCCAGTCTACACCGATAGAATTTATTGTGCATGCTCTCCAGATAAGAATATGACGTCACCGTTTAACATGACTTGTAGAGTATATCTATCCTTGTTTTCGAGTCCCGTGTTACGAATGGCGCTGAAACGCATTATGGTACACGACTCGTGTACCAATGGTGAAATGTTTATTTTGTCGTAAATATAAGAATTCCATCTTTTCCCGGTAAGATCACAAAATCACTGTTGATTTAAATTGACAAATAATTGAGTTAGAGATTTAGCTACTTTAATGTATTAGGCTTTAAATTTGTAATAAACAACAACAACAACATTTGTAGCGCCATTTGAATAATGAAATTTTGCACACACTGATAGCCTAATATAATAACGAATCCTCTGTTGCTAAAATCCCAAGAGTTCGTCATTTTTATTATATTCACACAGCACGATGGGGGTAGTGTTTATGTAATCGGTTCTGAAACCAAAGACGCTGTTTTCTAAATATAAATATTTACATGCTATAATAAGCTATAAGTAAAGAACATATTTATATATGTGACCTGACAACAAACCTGGGCGTATAGAAATTCATCTCACAATCATATCAGAGTCTTACAAGATATACTTATATAGGTATTCACAATCATTTGTTTGTGAAGTATACAGAGATGGGTTTTTTAATATTACTAATCATGTTGTTCAGGAGTTTATACGAACAATAAACACCAGGATTAAAGAGACAAGGTTACAACATGAATATTTATGATAAGCATTTTTTCAGACCACCTGGATCAGTTAAAATGCAGATAGTGTCAGAATATTATGCAAACAACAGGTCTATATTGGTCAGTTCAATTGAAAACCCAACTATATGACTGTCAGTGGTCTTAAGCTGGGTTGGATTAAGTCACGGGCTTTAGGGACCGAGAGTCCAGAGATCTCCGCAAGCTGGTTGATCTTCAGGGATCAACCCTCCTTAAATTCATTAGTTGTTTTTAGCTTGGCTTGATTAAGGCACGGGTTTTAGGGGCCGAGAGTCTAGAGATCTCCGCAAGCTGGGTGACCTCTAGAGTTCAACCCTCCTTGAATTTATTAGTTGTCTTTCGCTGGACAGGATTCAGGCATGGACTTTAGGGACCGAGATCCCGGACATCCCCGCAGGCTGTATTATCTCCAGAGATTACATTGAAGGGATTAGCGGACACTATCAGCTCTGTAACCCTTAATTGTCGCCGGTGTTCTTACTTCGTACTGCCAGGCTACTTATAATATTTACATATCACCCAAACTGTTTGTAAGGGAATAATTTATTTGTTTCTGTTTGAAATTTGTAGCTAATGTAGTGTATAAATCATAATGCAGGGTACATGCGTAATTCCCTGGTAAACCATGTTGCCTTGTTTCCTCGCTCGAAGATATCTTCACTTTACATATGTACGGATAATGCACGTGGTCATTCCTCCTGGTACATGTTTAACGCAACGCGGAATCGGACCTTCTTGCACATCCAATTCAACCATTGCTCGATTACCCCCCCCCCCCCTCCCCACACACACACACACACACACCCACCCACACACCCACACACAATAAGAAATATAAATAAATAAGTAAAAATAAACATTATTTGCTTTTAAGTAATGTATTTCGTTGAACTAAAGTTTTAAACACAATGTGGGTTATCAAAAAACAAGGATTGATTTGAAATGTTGAAATGTTTTGACAATTCATATAAAAATATTCTATATATTATAATATACAATTAAAACGTATTTTTATCTGCAGAAACCTATTTCCGGATAACATGGTCGCAGCCACCATGCAGAAGAGTCAAACAATATATACTAAACAAATGCATCTAGCCGAGCAGAATTTAACTCTTGGACCGACTAACGAGACTGTTGAATATCTAAAAAGGAGTGTTGGGTCGGCCAGTGGGACAAACATCCTAGGTAAAATATAAAAAAATCTATGTGTCAGGTGCCCCGAATAAGATTAATTGAATAAAATGTGCTTTAACGTCCCACTGTTCTGCTCCGACTGGGCTAATGAAGACAGGCATACGCCTTACAGCGTGCTATGGGGGGGGGGGATTTTGCCCATACAGCAATTGAGTTCCAGTAACATTGGCAATGATTCCTTTACGTTCACACCAATGTGTACACGGTGTCTCGAGTTTTTGTCCCATCCTTCCGTTCTGCATCATTCTGAGTGGAAACCAAGCTGTAAAACCCAACAGACCTTTCTCGGCCAACACCTGACAAAGACACCCTCCCCCTCCTGGTTAGTAATTCACCGTCACCGCCTAAGGGACAGGTCGACTCCATGATCCTGGAATATTAAATTAACCATCGAAACATTATATTATCCACTGAAACTTTATATTAACCACTATGTGTTAAATATTATCTCTAGGATTAATAATAATATGTGCAGCACTTGGTACAGCAGCTGCTCAGATTGGTGGTGCTGCGCTTCTGTTTGTACAGTTCTTTAAAGCAGTTTATTTAATTATCACCAAAGTTCTCGGATGGATCGTCTGGTACGTATACCTTATCTTAAACATTTATCACAATATTTTATCGTTCTTTCGTAATATCGCAGGCAAGTGTTTCCTAGGAAGAGCCAGTCGCATTGTATACACACTCAAATTTGATAAAGCATATGGGCGCAATGCAGGTAGGTGATTTTCTTAAGGCATGGTCGGGCTATTCACAGTATTCGACTACAGTATTCGGAATTTACCAATAAGGCCATAGCAAATAATACCCGTGTTTCCGATTAGTTAATAGCCTCGACAATAGGATCGTTGGGAAATCCCTTCTTAATTAAATTGTGCGGATAAGACTGAATAGAACTAATAAACCTACATTGATACTTGCATTCTATACACTTTGAATTTGTCGTGTCATTTTGAATACGGAAAGTATTCATTATCAATTTCCTAGCATTTCTAATTGATTACCGAGTAAGATTCTGCAATTAATGCATTTGAAGATTGTTTCAAATACCGCATTTATTTACTGTGGGAATTGTCTGCAGAAAATCACATAGGACCTTGAAAATGAACAAAAAAAACCTCTAATGACGGCGAATTTTGCTCGGAAATATAGGGTCATTCAGGTAATCGTAAACACGGATAATTTGTTTTTGGCCTGACTTTTTTCTGTATGATACATACCTCAACTAACGATTATTTTATTTAAATATATTCATTTGTTGTAGGTTTACACCAATAGGTGTTGCAAGTCTCATAGCAGTTTCTATCGCCGCGGCTAACCAACTAGAAGAAACATTCGCCAGTTTGGGTTATTTTGTATTAACAGTTACAACAGGAGTGGTCATTCACCAACTTGTTTTCATTCCAATCCTTTATTTGGTTTTTATGAGAAAAAATCCCTTCCGTTTTATTGGAACCCTGGCCAAACCCTGGTTAACCGGATTTGCTCCTCCATCATCGTAAGTTAGTTTCGACGCTCTTCAGCTTTTAATGTTTGCTTCGTAAAATGTACGCCCTCTGAAGAAACACTATGTGTTACGCATAAAGTTGTCAGCGGGGTTGTAGCTGCATTCTGCACACAGAGATCCATCTACGTCATACTTCGAGAATCGATCTCTGCCCTAAATGACCGCCATATCCAAAAATTAGTATACTCCACCCCTCAAAATATCCTAGCAACGGGTCTTTCATATGTTGGGGGTAAGGTATTTGCTTCTGCAAATTAACTCCCGTATTATTTGGGTTGGTTCGATTTTGCTCTTCGATTCTGTAACAATAGCAGCATATTAATTTAATTGTGTATTTAATGTCAGTGTATAAAACATCGCTGTCAGCGGTGCAGGACGCGGGGAGGGGTGGCGGCTGCAAGGGACAACGCATAGTCTTTCTGGTGGGACGAAAAACCGAGGTCCTGTGTACGCATTAACCTGCACGTAAAAGATCCTTTGACAGCTGTAATTCGATATAAGAGTAGACCCAGTCGGTGAAGAACAATACGACTTTAAATCATTTTATTTCAGTGCCATCGCCATTCCAGAAATGATGCGAACCTGTGAAGAAAAGCTTGGTGTAGACAAATCTATTTCCGGTTTTGTTGTACCATTGGCCGCCTCCCTGAATCGAGACGGTAGCTGTGTTTTTATCACAGTAACTGCTACCTATATAGGCCAGTTAGCGGGAGCTGATTTAAATGCGGGTACTATCATAACGATGATGTAAGTAGCGTTGAGGCTTAATTAAAGGGGCATTAGGTAAGATTAGATAAAGAGCTGACAGTTCTCGCTATAAATGTTAAAAAAGGGAGAGACAGAGAGACAAAGAGAGACACACACACAGAGAGATGGGGGTTTAACGTCCATTCGACACAACCTAGGTCATTTCGGGACTAACATATGGTTTAATTTTATTTCGATAATTCGCTTGCGCGTAGGGGTCTTTAGCAGTGGGAGGAAACCGGAAGACCCGGAGAAAACCCACGAGGTTGAACAGGCGACCCTACTCCTTGTCACGTACAACCGGGGATTCGAAACCACGCCAGTTGACTCAATGACAGGCCCTATGATACAGCACGCACCCCCATAAATGTTAAAGAGTACATAATGAATATATTAAATGCTTATGAGAGAGAGAGAGAGAGAGAGAGACAGAGAGAGAGAGGGAGAGGGAGAGGGGGGGGGGGTCATGGGAAACCTTTAAATTAGTTCTTTAGGATTTTCTTCTCTTTTTTATGATTTTGTTAATAACACAACCATGGTTTATCACGACAAAAAGTCATACAGCAGTAAACAAGACCAGAGTAATGTGAAGCATATATAGAGTAGGACGTTAAGCCCCATTTCATTTCATGTAATATATATTATGAAACAGATAGGTACATGTATGAACAGTAAGCAAATAAAATTTTAATGTAATTGTCGATCATTTAATGTCAAATTATGCTTTATGCTTACACATACATTAACTATGGAGAAGTCATGTCGGTGCATATCCTTTACATTAAACAAACTATAGCTTCAACCATGCGAACCCTGTCATTTATTATATGTACACAATTATTTTGTACATACAATAAATTATTTTGTAGGTGTGAACTATATTCACCCATTGTTTAGAATGTCAATCTGCCTGCGCCAAAATTTAGAACGTGTTTGACAGGGTGTGTGATATGAGGTTTAACGTTTACTCGACAGTAGTTTATTTCGAGGCTAAGATATGCTACTATAATTCGTTTGTGATAACGGTTTTTAGTAGTTGGAAGAAACCGGAGAACCCGACGGCACGATTCCTTATCACGTACAAATATGGATCGAAACAACACTAATTGTCTTAATGACAGACCTTATGGTCTAAACCACAAACGTTAAACAATTCGACCACCCTCATCCTGTGTATTTTGAAAGTTAACCCATGAATAATAATAATAATAATAATTTTTTACAAAACGGTTTTAGTGCGGTGCGAGTGTCTGCGATAGACGAAGGAAATTTGGAGAAAATTTGACGGCCACAAACGCGTTTTCCTTGCGCGAATCGTGATAGTGGGAACCTAGCATGTCTGTATTAACATCTATTTCTGTCGTAACACCTCACTGGTTCGCACGAATAAAACGAACCCGGATTGCTCGAAACGCGTTTTACTGCTATTACAGACCGTGAATACAGCAACTATAAAAGTGGTCAACTATAGCCTAACTTTGGTAAATCGAATTCCAATCAATCAACCAATCGTTTACAATCCATCAAGATGGGACCGTCGGGAGAAAATGTAAACATTTAAATGCCACAAAAACGTTTTCATGCTACTCTAGCTCGTGAATGCAGCAAGTTCAGTGTGGTCCAATATAGCCTACCTTACACTGTAAATAATATTTATGTATTTTTACCGTAAATTTACTGGCAGAAAGTTGCCAGTAAATTGACTGTATTTTAGACTGACTTGTAAATTTACACTTAAGTGGTAGATTTAGATTTACAAACAGCATGTAAATTTACAGTGAGTGTAAAATAACTTCGGTGTAAATTTGCATTGTGCTTGTAAATAGAAAGGAAGATAAATTTACATGCACTCTAAATTTACACTGTGGTTTTAAATTTACCTCAAAGCTATTTTACACTCATTGTAAATTTACGTGGTGTTTGTAAATCTAAATCGACCATTTAGGGGTACATTTACAAGTCAATGTTAAAATACAGTGATTTTACTGGCAACTTTCTGCCAGTCATTTACATGCACTCTAAATTTACACTGTGGTTATAAATTTACCTCAAAGCTATTTTACACTCATTGTAAATTTACGTGGTGTTTTGTAAATCTAAATCGACCATTTAGGGGTACATTTACAAGTCAGTGTTAAAATACAGTGATTTTACTGGCAATTTTCTGCCAGTCATAATACGGTCAAAATACAATTTTAGGTGTACATTTACTTGACTATACTTTAAATGTGTTGGTCCTCACTCGGCTAAGTAGTCCGAGGTTAGATCCTGGCGAACACATAAAGTTTTGCGGACCTTTCAGCCGAGCATGCAAAACATCATTCGATAACGGAAAGAAATTAAATGAAACGTGGTTTAACGTCCTACTGTTCTGCTTCTTACAATGGAAAGAGTAGGAGGCATGACACGAAGCAAAATGTCCCACACATCCCTATGTATGGCATATCACTGCCTCCATACGTCGGTTAGGTGCATTCAGATTTTAAATAGCCTATTTCTCAAGATTAATCTGACTGACATAACAGTAAATATTTTGCACAAAATTCGAAATGTGACCGAACATTATTTGAAAGTAAATTTACAATTTGTTGTCAAAATACAATGTCAAATGGCATTTCTGTTAATATACAGCTCACATAATGTAAACTGACATATGGTTGTATTTCTACATTACGTTTGATGTAATCTTACATAAGCTTTGTATTCATATTCATTTACATCGTTTTAAATGTAAGTTAACAAACTATGTGATGTTACAAATCGGACACTGTATTTTAAGTATACTTATAAGTGTAAATATACATATAATTTTAACAGTTTAATAGGGATCTTCTACGTGCACGCCAATGTGTAAACGGGACCTCGGCGTTTCGTCCTACCCGAACGACTAGACAGCTATCCTTGTCCGGCCCTCCGTCCTGCATTACTGACAAGGGGGACCCGCGTCGGAAAATCTGTATGAACATTTTTGGCAAATGCAGGGATCGAACACCCAACCTCCAGGCTAGCGAGTCAGTGTCTTACCCACTTAGCCACAATGACCCCTCATAAGCGGGCTATAGTATAGACGAAAAGTAATGAAGCCATAAAAGGTTTATCAATGTTAAAGTTCTCAAGAGATTACAATTACACGTTTCCTGTAAATTGTACACAAATCCCGTAAACATGTTTGAATAGTAGAATTACCGATAAAAACAGGTAAAGTACAACATACATGTACTTTTAACCAACATAGGTGTATCAATACAGATTACATTTAATAAAAATACAATTCTAATTTTTAAAACTACACTTTTATTGTTAATTTACCAATTCCACGTTACCGCACTAATACAGTAAATTTATAGTATAAAAACATGCAGTAGTATTTTTTACAGCGTTATGTTAAATAAATTACATATTTTCACTGTAATTTTACATTTACTTTTAACAGTGTAGGTGACTTGCATAAATCCAAAATCCTAAACAACCAATCAATCGTTGCGGAGTATTGGGGCCTCGCGTCCCCGAAATTTTTTTATAATCTAACCGCCGCAAATGCGTTTTCCTGCTATTTTAGCCCGTGAATGAGGCAACTTCAAGTTTCTATGCCGACATGAATACCAATAGAAAAATGTCGCACAAAGTAGACTGGCTCCAGACAAAATGTTTTAATCCATAGTCAATTCAGCACAAACGTTTTGCCAACTAGATGAATTAATAATTTACACTTGTACGACACCCCCCCCCCCCACCCCTGGCTTGTACGCCTATGGTCTTTATCAGTGGGGTGAAACCGGAGGACTTCGAAAAACCACACCAGTATCGACAGGCGACCCTACCCCTTGTCACGTACAAGCAGGAATCGAAACCACACCGCTCGACTAAATGACAGACCCTGCGATCCAACGTGCACGCGTTAACCACTCGGCCATGTTTATTCCGTATGTATGTATGTATAAGCAGATATGTTTTATTCAAGCGTCTCAACTTACGTGATAGTTAATATTTGAAGCCACCTGTTTTGTCTATATTTCAGTGTACTTATAACAGTTAACTCCCTGGCGATTCCAGCAGTAACAAGTTCTAGTGTAGTAACTTTACTTATAGTATTGTCATCAATGAATATCGAACCAGTCAATATTGGCCTTATCATGGCCCTAGAATGGTATACGTAAGTATCATATCTTCATGCTATGTTAGCTTTCTTTATGACAGGTACAACTATCATATCTTCATGCTATGTTAGCTTTCTTTATGACAGGTACAACTATAAAGGAAGCGAGGTTTAACGTTCTACTTTTTTGCATCGGCTGTGTGCCCGGACAGCGGCGCTATGACTTAATCTTATTTCGAATTCTAACCGTCAAGGGTTCGCGTATGTGTACACCCACGTGTACACGGAACCTAGACGTTTTTGCCTGCTAGACCTTTCCGTCATACACCAGAGGAAACGACGCTGGACAATCTCGGTTTTTATACCTTTTCAGGCATTTTTGACATTATCTTGACATCCACAATTTTCGACATTGCAAACACGGCTTATTGGCCAATTTAAATGAACATTGATGTTGTTATCTTACCGTGAAAAGTTGGGCTTCTGAAAATGTTAAAATTGGCATACGAATCGCATGCCAGAATGCTTTCGAGCGCCATTTGTAATGAACGATGCTAAACACATCCCTCAAGAGAATACTACCGGTGTAGACTGGAATAACCAGAGATCAAAGACTGCCATTCATTTTGGACTCATCGCGTATTTTGCCGAACATAACTGACTAGAAATTACAGTAAAAACAGAAACGATTGAAAGTAAATCAGTTTATATACTTTCATATTACATTATTTTATGCGTTACGACCCATTTGTGTCCATTTCTAGGTTCCAAAGAATATAGATTAAGCTCTTTTAACGAGGGACATTTAAGACATTTTTAAGGCGGCTTCACCTTAAGTTAAAGCGTTGCGACTCATTTGTGTCCATTTCTAGGTGCGATAGAATAGAGATTTAGCTCCTTTAACGAGGGACATTTAAGACATTTTTAAGGCGGCTTCATCTTAAGTTAAAGCGTTGCGACTCATTTGTGTCCATTTCTAGGTGCGATAGAATAGAGATTTAGCTCCTTTAACGAGGGACATTTAAGACATTTTTAAGGCGGCTTCACCTTAAGTTAAGGCGTTGCGACTCATTTGTGTCCATTTCTAGGTGCCATAGAATAGAGATTTAGCTCCTTTAACGAGGGACATTTAAGACATTTTTAAGGCGGCTTCATCTTAAGTTAAAGCGTTGCGACTCATTTGTGTCCATTTCTAGGTGCGATAGAATAGAGATTTAGCTCCTTTAACGAGGAACATTTAAGACATTTTTAAGTTGTCTTCACCTCAATCTGCACGACCCAAGAACACTGCAAAATGAGTTTAAATACAAAAAGTCTCAACATATGTAACCTTACTTACTTTTTCAGGGATCGTATTAGAACCGCGGCTAATGTTATGAGTAGTGTGTTATGTACGGTTATAACCAACAAACTATGTAAAATCCGTAACCCAGACACACCAGCTGAAATTAACGAAACTTTTGAAGCGGAGATCAAGATAGAAATCAGTGACACAAATTCCACTACCAAATTGTAGAGATTCCATTATTATCGATTATTACCATAAACAAACAGAATGAAAGACACGCTTGAGTCGGAAGTTAAAGCATAAATACCTAATTGTAGAGATGACATTATTATCTGTTATATTACCATAGACAAACAGAATCAACGACACATATGAACCGGAAGTCAATGCATATACCAAATTATCAATTATCAATTTATTACCTATTTAGTGTTGGCCTATCATGTCTAATAAAATCCGTAAATCTCAAGTCTAGAGTCAGTGCCACGTGCGAATATAAGATAAGACGGACATGCAGACATGTTTTTAGGTATATTTTTTGTATTTTATAATTGAAATAATGTAATATTGATTTACAGTAAAATAGTTTTGTTGAAATGCTACTAGGTTTTCCCTTACAGACCCCAGTTTCAGTCTAAAAAGGATGCAATTCTGTGGATAAACAGTGAAACACCCCCTCGAATTGGATGCTTCCGATACTGACTCCCAGATGTCCATATTTTAAAATGATAATTGCAGGCTCTATTCGCTTGATCGGTGGCTGCTCAGCAGAGCATACTCTGGTTTTATTCTTGGACGTAGACATTTGATTAATAAGGGACGCCCCCCCCCCCCTAGTTTGCTACTGCAAGTGGGATATTGACATAAATAAGATTTTGTCTAAAACAAGTAAACTAGTAAATTGTAGGTTAAGTCGTAGATCTCACCAAACCATGCATACCTCATATATTCTTTCTCATTTCAACTACTGTGACGTTATATGGGGTGGGGGTATCTCTGAACTTTTACAATTAGATGCACTTAGACTATATGGGTGCTGTGAAAGGTACAAGTCACCAACTTTTATATAAAGAAACAGGTTTTATCACACTACAAGAGAGAAAAGGCGACATAAATTAATTTTATTCTACAAAATCATCAATCATTTCACTCCCGAATACTTGTTTCAAATGATACCACCCAATATAAATTCATCTAGTCTACAAAACTAAAGCAACCTCCCAACATATTTCTTTATTTACCTCCTCTATTATAACATCTACAATTAAAGAATGGAATCTATTCGATCTTACTACCAGAAACTTACCTACTTTATCCTCTTTCAAATCTAATCTCAGTTAGCTAGCTTGATCAACTCATCCCTACAGTTTACTACTCTGACAGTTGGAAAAATCAAATTCACCATTCTCGTCCTCGACTCTCTTGCAGTGTTTTGAACGGACATCGTTTTCCCGGAAACATTTCTGGTAGCTCTAGTTGCGGTTGTGGTCATGCCTATATGAATACTCGGAACATGTTCTTTTAATTTGAATGAATGAATGAAATTTTTGATTGTGGTATGTACATATCATGTATTTAGTCATCTAATAATTTGATCATACATGTACTTTACTTCTTTCACATGTTTTCAATATATATTTTTGTTTGTATTTTTATGGAGAGGGGGTCAATAAACTTCTTTCTGCCTGTTCTACAATCCAATTTCTGTGAATAAATATTGTTAAAAAAGTAATAAAAAAAAATAGTTTGCTACTACATCGGCCATCCGATCGATTAAAATGTAGTTTAACTTCCTAGTGTTCTGCTCCGTCTGGGCTAATGAAGACGGCCATACGCAATGGAGTGTGCTATGATGGAAATTTTGCCTGGACAGCGGCAGCACGGCCTACTTTTATACTGAATTCCAACTGCCATGGGATCTTATAAGTGCACGCCAATGCATACACGGGACCTCGGTTTTTCGTGCCATCTGAACGACTAGACAGCTGTCCTTGCCATGCCCTCCGTCCTGCACCACTGACAAGCAGAGACCACACCCGAAATTCCTGTTGAACTATCTCTGCCAACTTACTCACTTAGCCACCGTGGCTCCATTTTCATGCAACAGTGGATGTACACTAACAAATGATTTATTTACATTATTTTATTATCAAAACATTATAATCTTTATGACAATGCATTACGTCTTATATTATAATATAAACTTTTCACTATGTACAGATATATAAAAAAAGCCTATACTTATTAGGTCCCCCACCCATTTGATTTTCTCTTCTTCAGGTCATGATAAATAAATAGCCGTTTAAACCATATGAAAGAGGTTTTATTTAAAATTTAAAAATCTGGGACTAAATTTTGAACAGTACAACCAGGTACTGTTGGTTTTTGAATAAGCCTTTTCCTCAAGACATAAGGACATTTTATAATAGGTGTGAAGAAATAAGATGGAATTTTGTTTACAGGTGTTCCCTGAGAACAGAAAATCAAATTAGTGTGGAAGTACATTCAGCTAGCTAATTATCTTATATACAAAACCATGAAAAATATCTCAAATAGGCCTATCAATCAGCGGATACTTGGTTAGGGCAGGGAATTAGACAAGATAGGACCCAATAAATTTTGAATAATTGGGGTGTCAATGGTGATTTGTGGCACATATCTGGACCCAAATATACCCCCCACCCAACAAAATGCTCAAATTTACAGGTTTCATAGAAATATATTTTAAGGAGTGCTTTTCATACTGTTTTTTAGGGAGGTGGGGGCACACCCAAATATATCCCCCCAACTCACAAAATGCTCAAATTTACAGGTTTCATAGAAATATTATAAGGAGTGCTTTTCATACTGTTATTTAGGTCGGTGGGGGCACACCTGGGGCACACCTGGATCTGCCACACTGCCCATCTGTATACATATCCAGCCAAAAGTTAAGTTCTCAGAGGTTAACACATAGAAATACAGCTAATTCTACTTTAAAGAGACAGTATCACTTTCTCCAAGAAAAAATTTACTACACCAGGACATTACTAAAATCCTGATTTTGGGTCCAAATATTGATCTCTAGTTACAGTGGGACACCTTTACCAGGGTCTTATTTATGCATACGCTACAACTTATAGACTACTATATACCAGTAATCTAATTCAACTTAGGGCCTAACAGTCTTAATGACCTATTGATGAAATTGGTAGACTACTATATACCGGTAATCTAATTCAATTGACCTCCGATATTATTGGGTAGCTTTCCTTCAATAGAAACTTTATTTTCTTTTAACAGTTACCAGTTTCGCGTTTTATTACATCTAAATCTAGCCCAGATCGACCCTTCCAAATTAAATACACCAAATTGGTAGACTACTATTTATTCTAATTCAATTGATCTCATATATTAATGGGTAGCTTTCCTTCAATAGAAACTTTATTTTCTATTAACACTTGTTAACTACGGGCTTCATCACATCTAAATCTAGCCCAGACCCTTCCAAATTATATACACCAAATATATTTGAATGGCATTAGAAACTATGCTCATCTCTGCTTTAGAGTGAGGCCCCTATTGTAAGCTTTCAGACATGATGTCCCCACCCCCACTTTATCTTTAACATGGTCCCTAAAACCTTGAATTGTGACAAATGTTACATTTGATACTTGATGAAAATTTATAGTTTGATGTGACATTTAAATAAATATTACAAAGTTTTATATAAAATTACTTTGATTTCATTGTTTTTGTAGTAAGGTTCCAAACCATTGCGGTCTCACAAGTCTGGTTTGAATTAATTTCTTTAAAATTGCTATAATAATTGTTTGTCTTTAAACTTCAAAATTTAATTAATATAGACATTTAATTTGTGCTCTTTACCGTTCCGATCATTTTGCCACAAGATTTTCAGAATGTTCTATCTGTTCTTAAAATGACCAGACCCCTTTAATCAAAACTAAAATTTTGTCAATTTCTTCTAAATCAAAGAGGTTTAGCTATTTTAAGGAAGATTTGAGAAAATGAAGTATGAGCTATCGATAAACAAATGGTAATTAGCACTATAAATAATTTCTGTATTGGATTGTATTGCAGATAGAACATTCTGAAGAACAAACGGAACAACAATATGTATTATATATACTCTTCTACAGCATTAACAATATTAATATTCTCTTAATATAGACATATACATACATAAATAATATATCATCATCAATTTGTTAATTTTAACGTTTAAATGTTAATAAATGTGTATTATCCACCACAGGTACTATACAATTTTTCTTTTTATAAAAGATTTGTTAGTATGGCCTTGACTTGTGTTCATTTATGTTGCTGTTGTCTGCATGTCACTTTCTTGTTTTATACATTAACATGTAGCAAAAAATTGGGTAATTCCTGATCACATCATTATGGTACCAGTATTATGGTAAACAATGGTATGGTTGAACAGTTAGCTAGATTAACAATTCAAGAGTTACCTAGGTTAACAGTTGAACAGTTAGCTAGGTTGACAGTTCAGTAGTTGGCTAGGTTATAAGTTGAACATTTATATAGGTTAACAGTTCAACAGTTAGCTAGCTTAACAGTCGAACAGTTAGATTGATTAACTGTTCAACAGTCAGTTAGGTTAACAATTCAACAGTTAGCTAGGTTAACAGTTCAGAAGTTGGCTAGGTTATAAGTTGAACATTTAGATAGATTAACAGCTTAACAGTTAGCCAGCTTAACAGTCGAACTGTTAGATTGATTAACTGTTCAGCAGTCAGGTTAACATTTAGCTAGGTTAACAATTCAACAGTTAGCTAGGTTAACAGTTCAATAGTTAGCTATTGCAATAGTTGAAAAGTAATGGTGGTCCATCTGTCTTTTTTTTAAAAAATAAAATAAGATAAAATAAAATAAATATGTTTTGTTCAAATAATGAGTGATTAAAATATATATTATGATAAAGAGTTCAATTACCTAAAGAGGTATTTATAGGCCTAATTAAATTTAAAATAATGGCAAATTAATCAATTTTAGTATCTTCAATCTTCATTCAAATCAGATTTCTAACGCTTATTATCAACTTGGTATATGATAGGATATTTCCATTCATTAATTGATATATCACAGTTGAATGTATTTATAATTTATTATTATATAATATATTGATCGCACTATTCATGCTTTGATAACCACCACCTATTTCGTTTCATTTTTAATAAAACCTGTAACTCTGGGGCTTTATTCACAAAAGCTGAAAACTAAAATATTATAATAATTCACACCTTTCATTGGCCCAGAGCTAAAATTTGTACTATAATTTTAAACCTAAACCAATCAAAAGGCTGCATATTTATAATATTTTAGTTTAATTTTTCATGAATCGGGCCCCAGTATGATTTACAGTTCGAGGATCATAAAACCACCGGCATGCTCAGTTTTATTATTTCACGTTTTACTTATTATTAATCCCCCATATATATCGATAAGTCAAAGAAACATTACAGAACAATTTGCCTTCTGAGACAAAATATTTTTATTTCTCCTGCTTCCCTGACTGGGTTTATTAAGACAGGCATATGCCATAGAGTGTGCTATAAGGGAATTTTGCCCAGACAGCAGTGCTACCGCCTACTCTGAAACATAATTCAAGCTGCCAAGGGATCTTTTTCATGTACGCCAATGTGTACATGAGACTCTCCAAAGAGAGAGAGAAATGGGGTTTAACGTCCACTCGAGACTCTCCAAAGACAAATTGTTCTGATGTATTGAATTGCTGTCTATATATATATATATATATATATATAACATATGTACTTGAGTTTTTATATTACAATAAAAAAATATAATATATATATAACAATAGAAAGAAGCCATAGAAATATATGGAATTATCTGTGATCTGTTTTAACAATAACATAGGTGGGGCAACTACAACAATAAAGTAAGAGTTATCTCCCCTCAACAGTATATCATTTATTTCTGTAAGTTTGTTAAAAGGGCACTCTCAAATTTTTCAAGGCATATTATACACTTTTGTAAGTGAATGCTGAATTTATGACATCCTTTGTGAAATTTATATCTCTTCAAAGATTATCAAGAAATTGGATGACATGGCTTTTGTTGCTATGGACTGGAATAACTCTTTATCAAAATGGTAATTGCCCCATAACCCACTTTCCCATTTTTTAAAAAAACAAACAAAAAAAAACTAATGTATTTATGGCGAAAAGTCATCATCATCATCAATATAGATTTTTTTATCCACTGCTATGACAGAATTATCTGAACAAGGCAGTTTATCATATTTATACGCCCAACAAAACATTTGCTTTTTTTGAGCATAAACAATTCCTACGATTAAAACAATTGACCCCAAAAGGAAGACACAAATAATAACAAGGGTTAGAACCACTCCCTCCATAGAGTCGGGTATTATTATATGTACTTTCGGTTTATTGTGTGCTAAAATACATTTCCCTCGTATAAGTTCTTTACCCCCGCTACACGCCGTACACGTATCTCTTTCATTCTCACAATCTCGACAGCTGGAACTACATCGCATACAACTGTTTCCATCTACAAATAAACAAATAAATTCATTGTTACTAGCATTTAAAGTAGAGTCAACAATTTTGAAAACAGAATGGAAAAATAAACATTACTCAAATTTGATCTTTAAATTACTAAAATAACAGAAAAGTTCATTAAAGAGAGTCCATACAATCTTCATTTTGGACAGAGTTTATAATTTTCTGAAGAGCTAATCAAAAATGCTGATAAAGCAAAACTAATATAAATCAGACAAAAACAAAAACAAACCAGGCATCATTAATAATATATTAGAAAAGAAAATGAAAAAAATAGTCAAACCAAGATATATATGTAAAGAAAATCTAAGCACATAAATGTCAGTATTATTGTCAGTCGGAAATTAGGCATTCATGTCAAAAGAAGTTAATAATACTGGATGACTGAAGCAGAAAAAAAAGAAATATTAGAAATATCATGTATATTACTAATTAAGATGAATGAAATGATTAGATATAATTAAGCAATATAAGGACTAGTATACATAACAAAACATATTTCAACATGATATGAGGCAGGTACATATTCTCAATGGATGAAATTAAAAGATGTTGATCATCACCCACATGTTTCAGAAAGTATCTAATTTTTGGCGACTAAAGCTTAAGAAAACAAAACAAAAATATCTACAGTAGATGATCTCCAACCTTGAATGTGGCCAGATCAAAAAGAGAGAAAGAGAGAGAGAGAGAGAGAGAGAAATGGGGTTTAAGTCCACTCGACACAAACTAGGTCATTTCGGGACTAACATATGGTTTTATTTTTTTTATTTCAATAATTCGCTTGCGCGTAGGGGTCTTTAGCAGTGGAAGGAAACCGGACAGTTTAAAAAGAGGCCCATCAAAAGACTTTAATGCCACATCAAGCAGTCACTGACATATATACACTAGTCATTATATAAACACAATCAACTAGCTCTACTTCAATACCTAAAGATTAAATTTTTGTTTAAGGTAGGCAGGCCTGGAAATAACTGACAATATGTTAGGCACTAATGAAATAGTACCTGACATTTTCAACTTAGTGCCGGACATGTATTAATAATATCAATATAAAAGACAAATCAGTGCCGATCAAAATGACGGTCACCAGAGGTTTTGTGTCTGACAAATCATGAATCTGTGCTTAACATTGTCTGTGACAAGTTCCCTTATTTCCAGGCTTGAAGGTAGGTAAATAAAATGAAATGAAATAATTCAAAACCAGAAAATGAAATGAAATAATTCAAAATCAGACCAAATACAAAGTAATTAAATTAGTATCCTAACCCAACTAAAGGTAAGTTAATGTATTCTACAGATGATTAATTATAAAGTAACTAACCCAAGAAATTACGACATAAAGATATGAATTTATCTAATACTAAACCAGAATTAAACAAAGGTAACAAGGGTCAAATTGATTTTGACAAGCTAGTTGTCTGATTCGCTAATCTGAGATTACACAGAAAGAGAAATGGGATTTAACATCCACTCAGCACCAGCTCGGTTATTCCAGGAAATACACACTTTTTTTCTTACAAGAACTAGAGGTGTGCATTATTTGAGGGAATAAAACTTTTAGACATTTTTCCATCACTTCCGATGCACAAAAGATAAATACAGTGCATATAGTGATACAAACTATGCTAAATATAGTTATGTTCTGCCATGTGCATGGCACCTGTCCTGTCATACATTCTATTATGCCCATTAAAGTTGAGCAGTATAAAGCAGAAACTACATGTATGAATGTAATTTTAGCCATGTAAACTAGCAAGCAAGACAACCAACTCATCAGAATCAAGATGCCCATATATACACCGAAATCAACAAAAGAAAACAGAAACTAAGGGCAAATAATCGTACCTTTAAAATAACCAGTAAGGCATTTATCTACACATATATGATGTTTTTCTGTATAAAATCTGTTAGTATTACAGGTGAGACATTCTGATAGTGTTGGACCACTACAGGTTTTACATGTACTATCACATGCCTGGCAATATCCTTCATTATTATAGAAACCTTCTGGACATACATCAATACATGCCCTGAAATACATAAATATCAAACAGTATAATACAATTGTAATTTATAATTATGAATTGTAATTTAAGGTTATGAACTGAAATATATGGTGATGAATTATAAAGTATGGTGATTAATTGTAATTGATGGTGAATTGTAATTTATATGGTGGTGAATTGTAATCTATATGGTGGTGAATTGTAATTTATATGGTGATGAATTGCAATATAAGGTGATGAATTATAATTTATAGTGATGAACTGCAATATAAGGTGATGAATTATAATTCATGGCGATGAATTGTAATTCATGGTGATGAATTGTAATTTATGGTGATAAATTGTAGTTTATGGCGATGAATTGTAATTTAAGGTCTCGAATTGTAATGTAAGGTGATGAATTGTTATTTATGGTGATGAATTGTAATTTATGGTGATGAATTGTAATTTATGGTCATAAATCATAACAATATGCAGTAATGTATAATATTCCAAATTGTAGTTGATGGTATTAAAAGAACTGCAAGAGATAATGAGAGTAAAACTTACCCAGTTGAACCAAGTCGAACATTTTTACATGCATTACAGTTTTCTGGTTTGGGTCCAGTACAATTTTTTTTACATTCAAAATGGCAAGTGAACTAAAATAAAGAAATAATATATCTATCATTAATACTTATCAATCTAAATCAGGTTTAACAATTGTCCTAGTTTATTTCCAGCTTGGAACCGCGGTGGCTCAGTGAGTAAGTTGTTGGCTCAATAACCTGGAGGTCATGTGGATGGTCTCGGTGTTGGCCGTCAAGGTCTAGTTGTTTCGATTTTAGATTCTGGAAATACCCAAACCTCCACAACCGGCCTACAATTAGCATCTCCCAATTTAAATATCGGACAACTAGCTTCTTGTCTGTTCTCAAGCAGAGCTAATTGTAAAGTGAGTGCAAGTTTTGTATGACGTCTTCAGGAAAAGTATTTTTACTTACTGGCTTAGGACTTGTAGTTGATCCTGTAAGAGGTTGAGAAGTTGTTGCCGTTGTGGCTTTAACAGTTGCTGGAGGAGTTATTGATGTACCATTCTTTAAATTAATAGGTTGTGTAGCTGTACCGTGAAATACTATAGACCATGATCTTAATACACCTATATAACACATTAAATCAACATCAATATCATCAAAAACAAATTTTTTTTTTTTTTTAACTCACACACACTTTGTTTTTAAACAATATTCTGTCATAATTCTCTTTATTTTTTCAAAAATTATGAATTTCTTTAACCATTTGATCAATGTTAGGGTGACCCATGTACTCACAGAAATACAGTCCACAGCTGATAGTTCGAGACTACCACTGAAGCGTGCACATTCGCCGTGCCGAGACCAACTTTCTGACAGTATGATACTATAAATAGCCATGGCGCGTGCAATTCTCTACAAATCTATCAACTATTACAGCCGTAAAAAATTTATTGTTGACGATTTTGAATAGCAGTAAAATTAAGCTTCTTGGTTATTACAGCAGATTTAGAAATTACGTTCGTTTCATTTTTTAAATCGCTTTATCATTAACTGTACCGTTAAGAGCGGCATCTTTTGGTTTAGTACAAATACTATCTCTGAATCACTTTCTTTAGCAGGAACATGATACTAGCAGTAGTTTCATTTTACTTTTACAAGCTTCTTAAAACGATTGTTGAGCTACCTAACGTGCTTATTTCTAAATTCAATTTCTTGTTCTAACTTTCTGTTATGTTTCGTAAAAAAGTAGTCTTGATTATCCCGACCTGTCAATCAGACGTAGAATGGTCGATAGACAGGTTAAGCGAGACTAATTTCAAAACAAGGGCACGTAACCTATCTTTTACTCAAAAGTGTCTGGATCTTATGGACGACTCTTGGAACCAGTTTTCAGTCTATTATTTATACATGATTAATGGTCATAGCTTATTAAGTACAACATGATCGTTTATTTAGTGACTATAATTGTGTGAAACTGATTTGAGGCTTGGCATATATATAAATATTGTGGCGTAATTGTCGAGATATATGGAGATATTTATTTATGGTGGGTCACCCTATCAATGTAGCTTCTGCCACATGCAAACTCTCTCAAATATAATTCTCTGTTATATCTCTTAATGTGAACATATAGCATTTTGGTTGCTTGGAATAGAAACTATGACACTTAAATCAATTTCGGAACTAATGATGTAAAGTGCACACGTTAAAACCCTATTTATCAAATTTTCAGTATACTTAAAATCCAGAATAATAAAACTTCCCTGAAATTGACATAATCCAAATAAAAACGGATGACAAAACCAATATTTTGGGGAAGGATTCCATAAACTAAGAAGATAACTTATGGATTGATGATGTTTATAGTTTGCTTCCACAATACTAATATTGGGGACAAGGGCCTCGAAGGCCTATCAAATGCAGTTTAAATTTATTGAGAAAATCCTATAGAAAATCCAGATTATATATAGAAAATCCAACTTAAAATTCTATAGAAAATCCAGTTTTAAATTCTATAGAAAATCCAGTTTAAAAATAAAATAGAAAATTAAGATTAAGAACTCCAGATTATATATAGAAAATAAAATGTATATAGAAAATCCAGTTCTAAAATTCTATAGAAAATCCAGTTCTAAAATTCTATAGAAAATGCAGATTAGAATTCTATAGAAAATCCAGTTTAAAAATAAAATAGAAAATTATGATTAAAAATTCCAGATTATATAGAATCCAGATTATATAGAAATCCAATAGAAATATATATAATAATGTGGTGGGAATCTAAAAAGAGAAAGCAAAGCTAAAATAAATGGTGTAAAAGAATCCTGTATATAGATCTATATAATAAGCAGACAGAAATAAAATGTATAAAATATATATTTTTAGAAGGACAAAACGTCATTGACTTGGGTGAAACATGAAAGTGTAAACATTTGATTAACTTTGTTGTATCCATTTTAAACCTAGATAAATATTCCATTTACATATGTTATATTTCGAAGAGCAGAACAAGAAATAATTTTGTATTTTTTTTTGTCAACTCCACAAAAGAAATATGATTAGCAACAAAACTGTTTCTGTCTATCTTAATCCTAAAGCCTGTCCCATTACATATCAAATATAATACTGGTCCATTCAATTTAACACTTTATTTTGACTCAAGTCAAAGAGATTCTTCTCCTTTAAAATGGATACGAAAATGAAAATATACATAAAAAAAGTGCAAAAGAAAGTTCACTCTCTAAAATCTATGCACCTGCCTTTAAATCATAAATTTACTCAAGATCCACCAACAGAATCCTAATAGGGAACTGTTTGAAGACCTTTTGAAAAACACAATCGAATTTCATTAATAACAAAATAATGTTTGATTTAATTTTCAGAATTTATCTATTTGCAGAAATCTATCTACGGACAGTGTAAGAATTACAGTTTGGCTCCAATGAAGGACATAACTTTCCAAGTTGTCAACCAGTTAGTCTAGGCTCACAGTGAGCACAGCTATTCACAAAACATTTTTGGCTACTGCTTCTAATTTATTTTAATAGATGTTAGAGAAATGTAATATAACAATATTTTATGGCACGTCAGCACAAGATGTTAGAGAGTGAACAGTGAAATATAGAACACTAAACCTACCATGCGGTTCGCTAGATTTTAGAGTTTGCCAAGTGCGATAACTAGAAGAGAGTGGATATGGAAAACTGGGCTTACTACCTCCTGTGGTGCCATGTGGATTGTATGATTTCGCATCCTCTATTTCTAAGGTCCAGCGACCATTAGGGTCTTCACCCCAAAAATGAACTGATAAAAATGGCCAATTTTTAAATTCTCCCTCTTGTCTATCATTTGGTCGTTTTGGTAATAATTTAGATTTGGTACCACTCGGAGACGTTATGTAGATGATGACGTCACCACGACGTTTATGAGTTAACGCTATGATCACTTGAACATGTTCAAGGAATTTAACACCATTTGCCATACCATCACATGCTTGTGTGACAATGGAATCAATATAGGTTGTACCATCTAAATGTCTGAAAGAAAAATATGAAAAATATGGAACTATACTTCTCTTCTAGTCACTTAGCTTATCAATGACAAAAAAAAATCCATCATGCATAAAATTGTGATGAATAATTTTCGAGAAATAATAATTTTGATTTACACGATCTTTTATATGTATGTTGGCAATACACACGAAACCATTGCAAAGAAAATCAGATAAATAATTTGTTAGATATTAAATTTTTATTTTAAGATTTCCAAAAGTCCAAAAATTTGTTTGAAAATAAAGCCATTTGTAGGTAAATCAAATCAAACAAGCTAACAGTGTGAGGCTGGTAAAAGTAAATCTATCCAGCGGAGAATGTTCATGATCAAATTTTACCAAGGTATTAATGTAATTAAACTATACACTAAGTTTTACCACTCTCAGGCAATTAGAAACCAAGTCATCAATGTTCCAAAGTGTTGAGAAATCAAATTGCTAGCTTCAGCGGAAAATGTTATCATCGACCTTAGTCATGACATTCCCCTAATGTACATCTACTCCAAGTTTGAACATTCTAACTCAATTTGAAGCAGAGTTATTGTGTTCCTAAAGGTATGAAGGACAGACACACAAGAAGTATTTGAGCACAAACCCTATGGATATACGACGCTAGAGTTTAGAGTTTGCCAAGTGCGATAACTAGAAGAGAGTGGATATGGAAAACTGGACTTAATACCTCCTGTGGTGCCATGTGGATTATAAACACAATATTGTTATATACAATAAGACCATTTCAAAATGCCATCCTTTCTTTGAAAGATGTGGGGACAAGATATTATTATTTACAACAAGATGAAAGAACACATTCTAATAGTTACCTGCTTTCTCTGATAGCCATGGGAACAAAATATTATTATTTTACTAAAAGACGAACAAACACATTCTAAGATATTATTTTACAAAAAACCGAATGGACCCATTTTAATAGTCTCTGCTTTATCTGAAAGACAGGGGACAATCAGTATAAAATATTTTACTTACACATTATTAACATTAGAATTGACTTCACATATATGTTGTTCGGGAATATTCGTCCATACTTCTGCTAAATCAACCATTGCAGACGCATCCATTAAACCATAACCATATCGTAAACTTACTGTTAAAAAAATACACAAATTCATCATATAGGGCAGTGATTCTCAACCAGTGTGCAGCAAGATCTTCTTAAGTGTGACTCAAAATTTTGAACGGCACAATAAAAAAATTCGAAACACTGCAATAAAGTAAGTTCATAGCTGTGTTTGTCTTTATTTAGTTTAAGTCATTCTTATGTGTCCATGACTAGTCTGCATCTATGGCTGTATGCCGTATATGACTTGCAAATTTCAAATATTTTTCATATATATATAGCCAGGAGTGTCGCTATTTTTTCATGTGTTCCATGGTGTGTCGTTGGCAAAAAAAGGTTGCGAACCACTGATATAGAGTGTATGCTTATTTGACTTCCCACTGAGCTCACGAGAGGGCGCTAGCTATTTTAAGTTTGTGTATCTGTTATAATTTTGTACCTGAAGTTTTTGTCGCATAGTATATCTGCAATGTAGTCTTTTTGAAATTTTCCGTAAACCCAGAATCCCTCTTTAACCCACTTTCACTTAAATAATATGAGGACTAAAAAAGTCAGCTGGCTACTTCTACAGGTAATAAAATGTGTCTCATCAAAAAAAATAGGAACGATTTCATCGGGGCAGCACTTGACTAGTAATATTTTAATATGTATAATTAAATTACAGATGTGACGTCTACCTTTGCCATTTCCAGGTCAATTGTAAATTGGTGGAAATATTGGACTCGCATGATGTTTTCGTTGAAATGCGTTTGCAGGATAGTGTCTGTATTGTTTAATGGTCTTGAGCAAGACATTGCAATATATATTGAAACAACACTCTGGCTAGTGCCCTTGTGTGCAGTAGCTATACATTATTTAATGTGTCGCTCTTGACCACTACCACAATACATACTCTTAGTTTTATAACAGATACACCCCACTTGTCAGACCTTCAAATTTTGTTTTTTCTTCACATTTGAATGATTAGACGGAACCAAACCAAATCAAATAATAATTCCAAACATTATTTCTAGGTAAGCCATTGCTTTGCATGTTTGTTTTTCACATTAAAACAAGAGTGATAAGTTATTTATTTCTCATCTTTAATACACACCTTTTCTTCCTAAAGCATTTGTCATCCACTGACCATCAACCATAGGAACAGGATTCGCACTTAGTAATGTTATATATTGTACATCACGCCATGTTAATGAAGGACTGCAAATAGAACATTCAATGATAAGCAGGATTTTTATAATATAAGAAGAATTGTAAGAATTAACAAGGGTATATATCTATATATATATATATATATATCAGGTCATTAATACACATTCTCCATTAATCAATACATTATATAGATAGTACTGGATAACCTGTAATAACCTGGGAAAAATTTACTTCATAGCACACTATATGGTGTATGCCCATCTTCATTAGCCCAGTCGGTGCATTGTGATTATAGTTAAACATCTGTCAAAGAACTATGATTTTTAAAAGGACAGTTATCAAGAACTATGATTTTTTGAAGCATTGTTATCAAGAAGGATAATAATCAAAAACTGTGATTTTCAAATGGACAGTTATAAAGAAATACGATTTTCAAAAGGATGGTTATCAACGAATATAATTTCCACAAAAATATATATATATCAAGAACTAAGATTTCAGAAGGATGGTTATTAACAACTATGATTTTCAGAAAGATAATTATTGTTGATTAAAGAACTTACTTGGCTTCTAGAACTAAAGCTACAACACCAGCAGCTAGAGGTGCAGAAGCTGAAGTACCTGTATGTGTTTGAGTACATCTACCACGTAAATCAACTGTTATCTACAAATATACACAGTATACAATGTCAACAAGCAGAAATACTAATAATTCTCTATCGACAATACAGCTCTGTTCAATTAATGTTGCTGATGTTATACAGGACCTGATCACTACAACTCAGATATCGTGTAATTGTTCTGTTTTAGCAGGAGCCTCTGTATTTAATGTTTAGTTTCACGATACCAAAGTTGAGTGTGTTATATGCCAATTGCCATTTAATTTAAAAGACACAATTGATTCATCAGGAAATACATTCAAATGCTATATTTTGATTCTGTCACCTTTTGCCTGAATAGTGAGTCCCATCTTCATTTCAACAGATGGTGCAGAAAAGTAGGAAGCTAAAAACCATTTCATTTCTAAAATGTGTGGGTGTAGAAGTACAACCTCACCGTATACTTTTACGCAAGATCTAAAATATCAGAGTAAATGCCTCTAGGGCTGACAAGGAGTACAAATATTGTCAATAACCCTAACCCTAACAATTGGAATTTGTAATGTAGGCAGATGTGCCAGATTATGGACACAATTCTCCTTCTTAGAACTCTGCTGATACCCATAGCAAAGAAAACAACATTGTGTTAGTCTCAAATGATCAAAGTATTGTATTGACGAGACGTTAAACCACATTCCTTATCTTTTCTTTTAAATCTGGTCTAATTCCCATTCGTATTCTCATCTTGAGAACAGACCTTTTGTCACCAGAATCAGAAAATCATGACTGAAAGAAGCTGCAGTGACTCGGTGAAAAAGACCTTCGATCGCTAACCTGGTGGTCCCATGTTCAATCCCAGTGTTGGCCAAGAATGTTATCAGGATTTTCAGGCGTAGTTCCTCATTGTCAGTAGTGAAGGATGGAGGGCCTGGCAAAGGTTGGCATGCACGTAAAAAAAAAAAAACCCTTGACAGTGCCTCCCTTGGGAAAAATTTGCTTCATAGCACACTATATGGTGTACGGTATGCCCGTCTTCATTAGCCCAGTCGGTGAAGAACACGACTGAAACTTGACGAAGCTCGCTGGAAATGAAGGGGTTGTTTTAGATATAGTTAAACTCTATTATTAAAGATAATACATACTATTTGTTTCTCGTTATAGGAACCACTGCTGTATGTAGTTGCTAAAGTTGATGAACATTCCTCTAAATACCAGGGTTTCTGTCCACGTTCTGATGTGCTACTTATTGATAGAGTATAAACACTGTTGGTATAACCGTCACAATTACACGAGTCTTGGGCATTACCACCATTTCCAGACGCCCAAACATAGATAGAACCTTTTTTATTTCTTCCCTGTAAATATAAATCGTAAAAATATCAGTTTTTTGTCAGTGGTGCAGAATGAATGGCCTGGCATGTGGTGCAGGATGGATGGACTGGCAAGTGTTGCAGGATGGATGGATTATCAAGTGGTGCAGGATGGATGGACTGGCAAGTGGTGCTGGATGGATGGACTGGCAAGTGGTGCTGGATGGATGGACTATCAAGTGGAGCAGGATGGATGGCTTGGCAAGTGGTGCATGATGGATGGCTTGGTGCTCGATGGATAGCCTGGACACTCATTATCAAAATTAATCAGCCAGCTTGAAACTGGACACAGGTACAAATTAGATGATTTTTGGTGATTTTAAATGATTTTTACGAATTTTTAAACAAAGATTTAATATTAAACGAATGTGAAAGAAATTAGTGCTAGATACACAAGATTAAATGATAACTGGATTATAGTGTGGGTTTTAATTCGGCCCTTCCCTCATAGCACACTGCATACCCGTCTTTCATTAGTCAGTTGGTACACAATAGGAAGATGTTAAACCCCATTTCATCCTATTTTCACACCAAGAAAGAGAGAGAGAAATGGGGTTCAACTTCCACTCGACATAAATTATGTCATTTCGGGACTAACATATGGTTCAATTTTATTTCAATAATTCGCATGCACATAGGGGTCTTTAGCAGTGGGAGGAAACCGGAGGACCTGGAGAAAACCCACGAGGTTGGACAGGCGACCCTACTTCTTGTCACGTACAAACGGTAACAGGCGACCCTACTCCTTGTCACGTACAATCGGGGAATTGACACCAAGCCAGTTGATAAAGCGTGCACATGCTAATCATCCGGCCATGCAACCAAAAAAGAGTAGAAGATTGAGTAAATACTCGTAGAAGGAGAATGGGTGATAATATCAGTAAATACTGGGATAATTCTCACCAATGTTATTCCATCAATAAAAGCTTTTTTAGCTAGTGGACCAGGACCATCTACAACTCTACCATCATCATCTGGTCCCCAACTAGCGGAATAAATATCTATATGAGATCTGTTAAAACTTAATGAAGCAGCTTCTACAGCATCGTAGACTTCACCATCTAACATACGAACACCTGAAATCATAAATTACAGTCAATGAAAACGGTTATGTAACTCAAGACATTCTTTATACAATAGGCAAAATAACTCAGTATAATCTTCATACTGGTACCTTTATACAATAGGGGAGTCATAGTGGCTCGTTGAGTAAGGCACTGGCTCGCTAACATCGAGATCCCAGGCTCGTTCCAGGTATTGTCCAAGAAAGTTCCTCTGGCACAGTTTTCATGATTCCCCGATTTTCAATAATGGGGTAAAGGATTATCATCCAGTGGATAATAAAGACTACACTAATACTTGTAATAGGAAACTGGCATTTGTCAAAAAAATTACTTCCCACTACTACAGACTTTGATTGCATCAGACAATATCAATTCTACAATTCTGAGTGTAATGGGAAGTGAACAAGTAAATTTGATCAAGTTCTTTTGAAGTTGTGAAGTTTTTCAAGTGGTCCAATGAAAGTAAAACCAAAAATTGACTATGTTTTTGGGGGGAAGACTTTAACACCAGCATCTATCTTTAAACCAAATTTCTCACAATTATCATTTTTAATAATTTTTTTTAAATTGGTGTAAGTCTCATTTCCAACTTTCTTGAGATACCAGACTAAGAACATGTAACGGTGTGGTGCCAAAAATTGGCATTAATTCTTAGGTACTTCATTCTTTTTCCAACCATAAAACTGTGTTTTCTATGAAATGTTAAACTTGGGATAGAATAAATTTACTGAGTATACGCTGATCAATAATAGAAATACCACAAAGATCTTTTTCATTTCAGCTGAAACCTGAATAGGTCTGTAGTTCTGAAACTTTGAATCTCATTTTGTTGGAAATGACATCTGTATATAGTCTGATTCTCAGGTAGAGATTTAGGTGTTGTTGAGTTTATTATAAAGTTTCATACCTCCTATTCTGGAATGAGGAGCAATACCAACACCACATACTGTATTATTAGCTACAGCTGATACTTCACCAGCACATCGGGTACCATGTCTATAAATACAAACAAGTTATTACAGTAAAATATAAACTGCTTACAATTACAGTAAAATATAAACAACGCTTACAAATATAGTTAAATCTAAACAATGTTTACAATTACAGTAAAATATAAACAACGTTTACAATTACAGTAAAATACAAACAATCTTTACAATTACAGTAAAACATAAACAATGTTTACAATTACAGTAAAATACAAACAATGTTTACAATTACAGTAAAATACAAACAATGTTTACAATTAAAGTAAAATGTAAACAATGTTTACAATTATAGTAAAATGTAAACAAAATTTACAATGACAGTAAAATATAAACAATGCTTACAATTACAGTAAAACAATGTTTACAAATATAAAATTATTGTTATAGTGAACTATTAACAATGTTTACAATGACAGTAAAACATAAACAATGTTTACATACTACATAATTATTTTATAGTGAAATATTAACAGCGTTAACAAGGTCATTTTGGGACTAAATCATGGTACATTTATATTTCAATAATTTGTTGGCACTACATGGTTCTTTAGAAGGCGCAGGGATGGGGTGGGTTGGGGTGGGTTTTTGTGGGGGTGTGGGGACCAGAATGTCCTGAGAAAAACCTACAGCATTAGGCAGACAGTCCTACTCATGGTACATACAGCATACAAATGAAATGTGGGATTGAATCCATTACTTGAGTAGATAACAGATCATTTGGAGCCGAGCCGAGCCGAGCTGAGCCAAGCCACCCAACTCTACCCTTAACACCCCAAAACCTGTCTACTCAGACAGTTTAGATAGTAAAGTCTAAAACAGAATAATACATTCACACCACAAAATGATCAATATTCAAACCATCAACTGCAAGATGTCATTTCAACTGTTCAATGCTGAAATTACCACCATTTTAATTGTAAACACATCAATATTCATGTTTTACAACAGCTAAACCCTCTGAGTCTGACCAATCAACTTGTAATCAACATAGCTAATATAACTATCACCTTGGATCAGTAGTCACAATACAATATTCGGACCAACATAATAACCTGATGGTTTATATGCATATGTGATTTGACGTGTTTACTGGACTATAAAACATTGGGTTTGCTCGAAATACGTTAGATATTGATGTTCTATGGATAGACACTGAAAGCTTAAATGTAGACAGTGACTTTATTCAAAGGAATCCAAAGGCAACATGTACGTATGACAACTTTTGGCTATCGTTTGTTTGAAGTAACGAATGCTAGAAGGTGGAAATCGTTGCCTCCATATATACAGCCATGTTTTAAAACTTTATATCTAAGTTATTAAATCCAGCAAATAGAAAAACAGTAAATAAACAGACTTCTGTGAACAGTTCTGCCCTCGTATAATGTGTAGTGATTTATCGGCCAGAAGGCTTCATCAGTTGGGGATTATCCCCCAGTCTTAAATTTTAATGGAAAATAATTAACCTCTCCTACTCTCTGGTTTATATAAATTCAAACATATCAGAAACATATTGATATTGGTTACGTCCATAATAAGAATAAGATGCCAGTCTTAAAACATGATTAATTTTTTTAAGTTATTTTCTTGTGAAAAAAAAATACTGTAACAATTGTAATGTCTCACCTATTTTCATCTGTGGGATCATATCTTGGCATTGGATCATTATCATGACTATTGACATCGTAACTTGCATATGGATCCTGAAAGAAAACAGAAATAGGCTTTAAGACGAGCACACATGGGATACTATAGTAGGTACTGTGACCTCGACCCTCCACCTCATATTGGACATTACACATGGCTGGCTGTTGCACAGACATTTAGACATATTATACATAAATAAAAGCAGTTTGATTGGTCCAAGATTTGAAAGGTTTCATATCCTTCACGTTGAAACGTCTTAATTAGTACATATTTGATAAGAAGGCAAAATGCGGTCATCTCTATTTAGGGTGATCATGGTATAGCCCATACATGAGAATGATGATCATAAAATGGCGAGCGTATATTTACAGTTGGTCAGCTTGTGTAGTGCTGCTATAAATGTCGAAAGTAAAAGGGAAACAGCCCCTGGCATCTCATGTAAGTAAGTTCATATTTGTTAATCACGGTTACAATACTTTGGAATCAGGGCATCATCATTTTGATGACGATGTGATTCATGTGATAAGTTAGCACAAACATGTTCATCATCCTAAAATGGAGAGTGTATGATTATACTGAACAGTCAATGTCATGCTGCTATAACCTTGGTTTCTTATGTGCTTGCAATCCATATTGCAATTGCATTTTGAATGATCATGTGACTGACACCATGTGCATGATCGTAAAATGGAGTGTGTATGATCATACTGTTCAACTAGAGTAGTGTTACTATAATAACTATGACCAGTCTATCCAATCAGTTAACACTCTCTGTACCTGACATTTCCAGTTAAGTACATAATTAAAATTGTTATTTTCTGGCTTTCACATAAATGTAGCGTGTCAATATTTTCTTTCCACTGAGAAAGAAGGCCCAAGGGGTATTCCAACTGATCTGCCTTGTCTGATAAAATTGGAATGGGACTAATGCTGCCCATTCGGGAGAAAGAGAGAAATGGGTTTTGTCGGAATGAAATATAGTTCAATTTCATTTTATCTTTCGCTTGCACGTAGGGGTCTTTAGCAGTGGGACCAGGTGACCCTACTCCTTGTCACATACAAGTGCTGCCCTTTATTGATTGTGGGGTGCAGGGTCGGGGGGAAGAACAGAAGGGGCTGGTGTGTCTTATGATGTTATAATACTTTATTTATCTTACATAATTTTCTTTTAAATCTGGATGTGTCCTTTCAATACCATCATCTAAAATAGATATTACAACATCACGTCCACTATAACCTTTCTTCCATGCTGGTATTACGTTCATATCATAACCACCTTTACCACCTCCATGCTATAAATAAAATCAAATCAAAAAATATATTCAGCAATATTCACAACCATAGCACTCAAGTGTAATTGGAAATCATTTCTCACAATGAACCCCATAATTATTGTCATCCAACACACTGTCCAAGTCTTATAATTGCTTTAAAAGAAAAAAAACAAAACAGATATGAATCAATAATATGGAATGTGTTTCACCTTGACGGAGAATCAATTCAATTTCTAGATCTTAATTAAATAATTTTGCTTTAGTTAAAGATACATTATGTAAGATTTATATAAAGAGCTATCCATTCTTGCTATAACAGTTTGAAAATAGATAATGTAAAATGAATAATTTGAAAATTTCATTCAAATTAATTACTCTATATTGCGAGCGAAGATATTAGCCTTTGAAGTTTTGACAAGACGTGTGCAATAATTTCAACCACCGTACTGGTTGTTCGAAGCTAAGTCTCGCTCCTCCATTTTTAGCTTAAATCAAAATATGGCTGAACTGTTCTAATCTATTTAATATCGGAAAAATCCGATGCCATCGAGAGTTGATTATGGCATGAATAAGTTAATTAATGTCCAGTTAATAATTTAGATAACATTTCAGGCCTAAAGAAAGACCTGCAATAGGCAGATTTAGCTCTTGTATAATGTATGTTTAAAGTTTCAAAATTAAAATATCTGAAATCAAAACTTTTAAAAAGAACTACATGTACCAAGAAAATTAGTCTCACCCATGTCTTTGCACTCAAAGGTTGTCGCATAATTTTTTCTTTTGTCAGAAATGAAAACATTTACAATACACTAAAAATCTGATTACGAGCAACAACCCATTTGGCTTCTAGTTCTGCCCTATACTAATGTTTAGTATACAAAACATTTAATATCAAGGGCCATAACTCTGGCAATCGTGGACAATCAATAGGCTTCTTCATATCATGACCTTAAATACTGTGTATAAATATAAAGTCAATCAGGCATGAATCTTAGCCTCTAGGACGTACACAAAATTTGTCCAAGTAATCAAGGGCCATAACTCTTGCAGTAATTATTTGAAATTGTTTGTGTCATGACCTTAGACTCTTAGATACGGAGTATCAATTTAAAGTAAATCAGATTTCAACTTTAACCTCTAGAGTGTCCACAAGATTTTTTAAAGTAATCAAGGGTCATAACTCTGACAGTAATTATCGAAAATCTTCCTTTTGCAACCATAAACACTGTGTATTAATTTGAAGTCAATCAGATATTGACTTTAGTCGCAAAAGAGTCCACAAGCAACTGTATGTGGGCATATAAAGCTATAAACTAATAAATAAAATTGTTTTATGCCCATAACTTTTAAGAAATATGGTAATGTGAAAATGTGAAAAAAATGACAAAATGATTACAGTTTGAACCCTACCTCAGATCCATTCTCTGAAAGCAAGTAGTGCTAAACTTATAAAATGAAATGGGGTTTAATGACCTACTTTTGTGCACCAACTGGACTAATTAAGACTGACATAAGCCAAACAGTGAGCTATTAGGGAAATTTTGCCTGGACAGTGGCACTATGGACTTTCAAAGTCCAACTGTTTAAGGTACATGTAGTGTCATGAGCACGCCAGTGTGTACATAGGACCACGCTTTTTGTCCCATCTGAATGACTAGGATTAGGAAACTAAACGAGAATATCTTAAGCTACTTATTTTCAGGAAATATTCTGATTGATATGGTGCAAGAAATGACGGAATGACAAATTTTGAATTCTATATCCCAGATCATAAATTGCATATATATAATAGAGAGAGAGAGAGAAATGGGGTTTGACGTCCACTCGACACAAACTAGGTCATTTCGGGAATAACACACGGTTCAATTTTATTTCAACAATTTGCATGCGCATAGGGGTCTTTATCAGTGGGAGGAAACTGGAGGACCCGGAGAAAAACCAAGAGGTTGGGAAGGTGACCCTACGACCCTACTCCTTGTCACGTACAACCGGGGTATCGAAACCACGCCAGTTGACTGAATGACAGACCTTATGATACAGCGCGCACATGCTAACCATTCGGCCATCCAACCCCCAAATTGCATATGATGATGACATGACCAAATTTTGAACTCTATACCCCAAAATATTAAATGAGTCCACCAAATACTTACAGTGTGAGTTACACAGAAACTTTTGTTAGTGTAAGATATTTCATTCACACTAAATAAACGGGAGATAATGTCAAGGAAGAATGATCAATCATATTCACTAGAGATATCAACAAGACAATCAATGGCGTGTCTGTATGTCAGATTGACATACATAGATAGATAGATATATATATATGACTGTCAATTGCAGATTCTATCATTCGCACCTAATCATGTGTAGACCTAAGAGATATATGAAGCAATCAGTGGATGGTGTTTATTTTTTCACTGAATCTATTCAGACTGTTTCCCAGTTTATTAATCTTCTAGGGAAAGTAATTCAAGGCAGAGAGAGAGACGATGATTGCCTGCCAGATTAAATATTAATGGCATACAGAGACTTTAAGAAAATAAGAATATAATCATTTTCAAATAACCCTTTTTAATTCACACAAGGTACAATTTTATTGATACACAATTACTGATACTCTCATCTTTATCAAGCAAATGATAATTCATTTAGAAAAAAACAAAGAACTTAATTCCTACTTTAGATTCATGCACTGTTCAAGAGTATCCAACAAACATTTGAAAACCACTATATGCATAATATGTCATTCAAACAGATTTTATTTTTTTGGTAAGATATTTTATTCATTATAAATATGAGTACAGTGTACAACCAAAATGTCTATGTCAGACCCCTACCCATACGTTTTGTTTGATCATTTATATGTAAACTATAAACGCTCTCTAATCTTGCTACTGTTGTTATTATACCGGCTTAATATTTAACTTCAAAGCTCTATTATTTTATTTGACTCGATCTTCAGACATGATATTATCAGATAAAAATCCTTTGTGACAAAAGAATAAACTTTCTTTACTAAATTAAGGAAACAATATAATCCTAATTTTTCAGACTACCATTTGTCATTCAAATTTTTTTTGTTTTTTGATTTCTAAAAGAAAATTGTATTTTCAACAGTAGCCACATACAATTAGCAAAACTTTATTGATCATATAAAATGAGCGAGATGGATACCATCTGATGGGGTTTAATGTCCACTTAACACAAACTGTGTCATTTTAGGACTAACGTATGGTTCAATTTTATTCCAATAATTTGTTGAGCGGACACCGGACGACACAAAGAAAACCTGTGAGGTTGGACAGGCAACCGTACTACATGGGATCAAAACCATGCCACTTGATTCAATGACTGATCTCATGGTCTAAAACACATTTGGTAGACCACTTAATAACGAATGAATGAATAAATGAATGGCACAGGGTTTAACGTCCTACTGTTCTGCTCTGACCGGGCTAATGAAGATGGGTATACGCTATACTGTGCTGAGGGAAATTTTCTCTGGAAACTCATAACAAATCCCAGTTGCCAAGGGGATCTTTTACATGCATACCAATGTTTACACAGGACTTTTTTGTCCCATCCAAAGAACTAGACAATTGTCCTTGTCAGCCCCTTTGTCCTGCACCACTGACATGGGGAAACCACGCCGGAAAATCCTGAGCGAACCCAAGGACCTCCAGACTAGCGAGCCAGTGTCTTACTCACTTAGCGACCAGTACAGATGAATTATGTTCTTTGGGATTGGGTTATATGTGGGATAATTATCAAAACTTAACTAAATTGGATTATATTATTTTTAAAAATAGAATATTTGATGTCTTTAAACAACAATGCTATAAATCTATATGTACATCTCCTAAAGGTATGTTATATCAGCATCTCATATCTACCTTTGAACTTCAATATTATCTTTCGAAACCTTTAAATTGTAATTATATCACATATATCTCTAGAATAAGACTATCTGCACATTGTTTACACATCGAATCTGGCCGTTTTAAAAATACACCCCGTCAAGCCAGAGTCTGCAACCTTTGTAAATCAAATGATATTGAAGACGAATGCCACCATATTGTAATTTGTCCTGTATTCTCCGATCTTCGTTAAAAATATATAAAGAATTATTATATTCGAAATCCTAGTGTTCATAAATTGACTCAACTACTAAGTGTTCATAATATTAAAGAATTAAATAATCTTGCATTATTTTTATATTACTGTAATAAAAGAAGGAATAATTTATTGAATGTTGCACATTAAAATTTCTCAAGTCGCCTGCTCCCCATACTATACATATGTAAAATTTTGTACATAACCTGATTTGTTTACTTATTGTGTAAAATATTTATGTATTTATATTGTATGTGTCTATCTGATGAGTCGTATGACTCAAAGAAATAAAAAAAAAAAAAGAAGTAGACCACTTAATTATATAAATCCAATCAGTATTCAACCTGGAGGGAGTGGAAGGATAAATATTTACACCGTAATTATCTGTCAAATCTTTCATGAAAACAAATAAATATGATCTTATAAAATAACTCATTGAGCAATAATCGATGGGTTTGATTTACAAGATCACAGTAGAATCATGTATAAATACAGCATAATATTTTTTAGGTATAAATCAAATTCTTCACATGTATTCAGAAACAGCTCAATGTTCAATCAGTCGATTCTATTTAAAGGTTCGCATTGGAGAGAGAGAGAGAGAGAGAGAGAGAGAGGGTGTTTAAGTCCATTCTACCCAATCTATAATTATATTTCAATAATTCACTCGGGGTTTTTAGCAGTGATAGGAGATCAGAAGACCCAGAGAAAACGCATGAGGTTGGACAGGCGACCCTAATTCTTGTCACGTACAACCAGGGACTCGAAACCACGGCAGTTGTCTCAATGACAGACCTTACAATACCATTCGGTCATCCAATCCCCCTAGGTTAGTATCTGAATGAAACACAAATATAGATCAATTCCTTCAAAAACACATGTATGCAGAATAGCTCACTGAG